CACTGTTTCACGCGGCGCGCTTCCTCTCGCCCCAGCGACACACTGCTTCGGGCCAGGTGCACCATCCGAAGCGCTTCCAGGGCGAGAACCCGGATGGTCTGTGCCGACACCGGGACGTGGTGGAGTTCTGTGCAAGGTCAGTGGAGCCTCGACGCTACCGAGGCCCTCGTGCCAAGGGCAGGCGGAGCACGACGCCCAGGCGGCGGGGTCGCCATGCACGCACCGTGTCCGACTGCACAGTCTCAACAAGGCGCGAGCCTCGCGCCGCTAGAAACGTACCCCGAAGCCATCGCCATCGCAATCGGAGCCCGGACAACGAAGCCAGCCGTCAGTTAATTGCATTCCGCGCCGGCATTTCTGCTGGCAGCGTCCGTAATTAGCACAGAATAGGGTGAATCTAATTCATTTTCAATTGGCCGTCTCAGAGGCGGCTAAACGGCGCGGACACAAAAGGCGGGCGTGTGCGTTGCGGTTAGTGTTTGGTCTATTGTGTATGTGTGCCGTTCTGGATGACAGGACATCGCGCATTCAGCAGGTTCAATTGCGTGTCCGCTCCCCAACCAAATTGGTCTCTCCGCCCCGGACTGTCCCTGTAATGGATGCTTGATTCAAGGAATTGGCCAGACTTACATCCATGCAAAACAGTGAAAGAGACAAGCCTTACGGCATCACGCTTTGTCTTCAACAATTTCGTTTCCATTTTGCATTGGTTTCATGAATTGCGCTGGACTGCCGAGTCCGTCGAGCGAACGAATTAGCCTTAACTGGTGAAGGGTGCTCTGGAAGAAATGGGCCTTCCACACAATGCTATTCGAATGCCTGAGTTGATGGTGGATGTTACGCGAGATATGCTGATGAGATGATCGTTTGAGGGACCACACACACACACCACACACCACACACACACACACACACACACCACCACACACACACACACACACCACACACACCACGCACACACACCACACACACACACACACACACATACCACACACACACCACACACAAACACACACACCAACGCACGCACGCGCGCGCACGCGTACGCACGCACGCACGCACGCACTCACGCACGCACCCACACACGCACCACACGCACACACACGCAGACGAACACGCAAATGATATGCACGGAAATAACTGGCAAATGTGTGGTCGGCGGTGGCTGAGTCGCGACGTTAGTTTGAGATGGCCCGGTAATGTAATATGAGATCCTGGAGTTGATGCTCACTTTGGTGAAGTGTAGTCAGGTGGGCAGTCGGAAATCGCCGGAGAGACACCCTCGGCCCAATCACACGGTGCGCGCATACATATATACAAGGAATGAAATAGGGGAGCGTGGAGCTGCTACTCCACAGTTATAGCAGACTCAAGATCCTGGGTTACGCATGGCCTCTTCCTGCCAGGTGGTGCAGGACCTTTGAGTGGTCAGGGAATCTGCAGGTGGTCAACAGTCCACCGATACGACCAAGGAACCTCAAGAAAGTCAGAAGTTCACAAGACGATAGGAAATGTTCGGATTCCATGGTATTGAAACTATCAGGAGCCCATGGATGGCGGGAGCCACAGGCGTTACCTCATATACTTTGGGGGGGGGGAGGATGCCCATGCTGACATGAGCCCTCCTTCCTTCACCTTCCCCAATGCATGTGAACAAAAATGGATTATCAGGCCAAATAAATGCAGAATATTTATCTGAAATGTTGGTACCTGAGTAGATCGATACTAAGGTATGCCCATTTTGAACCACATAGTAACCTGTTGGTACCTAACGTGTTGTCATGCCAGCTCCCTTATTTGTCGGACCAGCCTGTACACGTTGGTGGGTTTTTCACAAGATAACACAGGAGATCACAACAAAAATCAAATGGACTATATTACATGGCAGCTTTTGAAAGTTCAGCGTGGCGCAGATATAAGTTAACCAAGGTTTACCCAAAAGTGGCAAGTTTATTTTTTGAACAGCCGTTACTCTAGTGACATTCAAATGTCAATGCAGTGGCAAAATACAAACAGCGACAGTGGTAGTTTGATTGACAGTGGATAAGAGATTTCACATCCTTCAAATTGCGACCACAAAAATGCCAAGAGATGGGGGCCCGGGTAGTCCAGGATGCGCAGCAGCTGAGTATGATGCCGATGGTGGATTGCTCTCTCTCTCCTCTCTCTCTCTCTCTCTCTCTCTCTCTCTCTCTCTCTCTCTCTCTCCTCTCTCTCTCTCTCTCTCTTCTCTCTCGCTCTCTCTCTCCTCTCTCTCTCTCTCTCTCTCTCTCTCTCTTCTCTCTCTCTCTCTCTCTCTCCTCTCCTCTCTCTCTCTCTCTCTCTCTCTCTCTCTCTCTCTCTCTCTCTCTCTCTCTTCTCTCTCTCTCTCTCTCTCTCTCTCTCTCTCTCTCTCTCTCTCTCTCCTCTCTCTCTCTTCTCCTCTCTCTCTCCCTCTCTCCTTCATCTCTCTCTATCTCTCTCTCTCTCTCTTCTCTCTCTCTCCTCTCTCTCACTCCTCTCTCTTCTCTCTCTCTTCTCTCTCTCTCTCTCTCTCTCTCTCTGTCTCTACTCTCTCTCCTCTCTTCTTCTCTCTCTCTCTCCTCTCTCTCTTCTCTCTCTTCATCTCATCACTCTCTCTCTCTACTCTCTCTCTCTCTCTCTCCCTCTCTCTCTCGGGCGATCTTGTCGACGGGTACAAGTTTCACCGCAACTCTGAACGCGCCCTTGAGCTTTTGCAGGCTCCCTGGCTTGCCCACGTGGACGTGGTCCTTGATATTACAGCATAGGGTCCAGGGTGAAAGGGTGGGTGCGTGAGAAGCCACAGCACGACAGCCTTAAGCTGATGTGCATTCCACGAAAATGCTCGACCGACAAGTCCAGCGAAGCCCGCGCTGTGTGCGGTGTCGCCCCATCCTGCTGAAGTCTCTTCCCTTCCGATCGATCCCGTGAGGTCAGCTCAGGGCCGCTAAGAAGGGTATCAGAGCGGTTGTGACGCAGCGCTCTGGAGCGGTGCTGACAGGACCCCCGTTCCCGTCCTCAAAGAATCATCTTCTGTGGAGGCGCGATGTCACGAGTGTGAGATCACTGATGACGGCCATTGTGTTTCAGTTATTTTCTCAGTGAAAGGTCATTCGAATGCCGCCGCAGTCTTCACTGTGAGGAAATACACCTGTTGCTGACGAGCAACCTTGAATTAACTCTTGCATTGGCCGCCGTATATCACCGTATCTTCACATAGACACAGTCTGTTGTTTCCCTTTCTTCGACTCCCTCGTAAATCTGATTTTGCCGTATTATTAACCGTGTGGCGCAATCAGGACACCTCGCCCAGTGCCCCGGGTATCCGTTCCTCGGAAAAGGAAGGATTTTAGCACGATTGCGCTCACACGGCTGGGGGTCAGACGGTACACACCACTCTCCACATTTGTGATGGAAGGACTGCTTCCTGGAATACCTTGGGGTGTGCTGAATAACGATGTGTTGTGATCGGGTCGACGGTGAGTTTTCTTAAAGATTTAGTTCAGGCATTTCCATCGGATGTGTTTCTTGGATAAGCGCCCACGCTAAGCACTGTCGGTTGCGTCAGTCATGGCCCCACCATCCGATCTTAAGATTCCGGGTGAACGGCAGAGCTTGCGGCGAAAACGTGAAGTGCCGCAATGCTTGGCATGGCCCACCCCACCCTCTGACCTCACCTGAGGGGCACCGCGGCCGCTGCCGACGGCCGCAGACCACCGCAGTCGGGGGTCAATAGCGAGCGCCTAAAGCGACTCGAACCCAACCCACTACGGGTGGATGAATCAGAAGACAGACAATCTAAGCCTCTGACCAACTGAGGCAGCGGGGCGGTAAAGTACGAGTGAGGCTGCGACGGTTTAAAGTATGTTTCCATGGCATACCTTCCACCGTGTTGTATTACAAAAAAGTAGGATGATGTCAAGTAATGGGATCAACACATTCTGTGCAGTTCGCTCTGGGTTGAATGAAATATTCGGCTGCGGTGTTGATCGATTTTTGCGGGGAAAGCTGACCATATCACACTGCTGCCAGCCGTCGAGTTTTTCAACGCATGCAGTGCTGTCTTGATAACGTCGTGTAGCCACTACCTCCAGGTAAACTGAGGGCTGACTATTTCAACATGTGAACCCTCAGCCAATGACGCCGAAACACGAAGGGCTCAAGATCTTCCTCGTTTTTATCAAATTCCAACACATATTAAAGCGTTGATGAAGCTATTTCGTTAACATTGGCCGCTCTGGTGACCGGTCCTATCAGCAACCTTGGCCTGCTCTGTCCTCCCGGCCACCGACATGACTAATGAGAAGGTCGTGCATGTTCAGGCCCACTCTTACGTACAGGTCATCCTGGCAGTGTACATGACAATTTGTTCATAGACTCACGTCCGCGCCTTTTTGCGTTCCGGGCACCAGTGACGAAAGAGATACGACACCCATTTTGTTAGTTACAACCGGTCAGCTCGCTAATGTATTTTTTCCGTAAATCATATTCCATTTTAAGCTTGCCACAAAATCCAGGCCCACATTGGCTTGGAGTGGGCTTTTCACATCGAGGACGCAAAGTCAAGTGGCCGAAATCCAGAAAGAAATTAGGTTTGGGGTTAGATTTTGTCAGCTTTATCACCTCAGTCCTCTCCCTCCACCGACTTAAAAATGTGAAACACCTGGAAGAGTCCCTTCTCTTCGTTCTGCCACTACATCGAAGGAAGACATGGACCGCTTGAGAACGTTATCACTCTCGCATCTCTCTGTGAGTCTTGGCGTCCTGGCGGAGGGCGACACGAACCGTTCTAGAAGTCGTTACAGTCACACCTCTCTCAGAATCCCGCACTGTGATGCTGGGCGACACAGACCATTTGAGAGAGTTTCCTCGTCTCTCTCAGAGTCCTTCCACCGTGATGAAGGGCGCGGAGACCTGACGAAGTTCACAGCTCTCGTGTGGGTTCCCTCGCCGTGGAGGGTGACACAGATCATCTGAGAAACTTCTTACATCTCCCACAGGGCCCCGCCACTGTTGCGCCGCGGGATATTGACCACTTGTGGAAGTTCTCTGGCCGTTTCTTCTTCGCCCGGAAGTTCCCGTCCAACATCAGCGATCCAACCAGGGCGAAGTATCGCGCCACATTTGCCAGACCGTACTACGAGAGCATTCAGCACGTCTTCCCACCCTGGCTGCCGACGTGAGTACGGTGTCGTGAGCACAGACACCCGCACAAACATGTGTACGCCCATCAAGAGATCGCTTGTGCTTGAGCCGATTGTCTAACTGTACAGTACGCTTTGGATCCCTCATGAACTGCTATATGAAATTCATTTGATTTGATCATAGCATCCTGGCATTCTTACCATATTACTGCAGCTTTGTACTGGTAATCAATTGGGCATTTGCTATCGCTACAGTTTGTATCCTAAGAAGACGTAAAGTTATTTATAAATTGAGGTAAACTATAGGTTGGACAACAACAATGATGCATATGAAGAACATGATGGGATCGACGAATGGAGGCCAGAATGCTGTTGTCGGAGTTTGGATGCATCAGTGTTAAAATTCGGGGTTTCTGAACTAGGTGCAGTCGCAGCTAGGTCATTAAGACCACAATTTCATTTATTCGTGAATGCTGGTTTCAGGTACATTGCCAAAATCAGCTTGCAGTGGCTTGAAATAAGTGATGCATCTCAAGATGACATTATCACCAATCCTATGCAGGTATTTATGGAGTTCAACTTAGAGGTTGCTGGGGTTCTTACAAGGCTGTTTTTCGCCAAGCGTGCCTTACACCCTGTTCTGTCAAGCGAGATTCGTTCTAGTTTCACCAACGGTGAATGCATGACAAAGAACGCCTGAACTTTTCCCGTAACAAGTGTTGTTCAACCCGCTACGTCACATACGACGCTGGCCACCAGTCCCTGGAGTGGCCTGCGTGCCGCCCCACTGTGAAATGTGTTCTTAGAACGGGGCAAGACGCACGCGGTCACGGTCCTGATAGGGTACGTCAGAGACTGCTTTGGCCGTATATCTATATATCATGCATATGATTCAAGCGCCATGGCGCAACCGGGATTTGAACCTTGACCCCGAAGTGGCAGTCCAATGCGCTAACCACTCGGCCATTACACTTACATCATAATATGACGTCATATGTCAGACATTCACTACTTTATGTATGTAAGAAAGACTTTGAGCTCCTGGTTTTCAGCATTGTGAGCTGTGAGTTCTTTTTCTGAAAATAATCGATTTTCAGCATATCAAGAAGTGCAGGCTTAACGTCATGATTTAGATAGCATTGCCTTTTTTGATGACACTCAATATTGCCAATGCTTCCCTGATAAGGTCATTTGTCTAGTGCTTCACGGTATATTGAAAGTTGACCTTTGCCAGAATGAGAACTACCGTCTCATGATTACGTCTGGTTATTACTGTTTGCTGGCAAATTGGCAGATACGTGCGGTTGTAGGTCAGCAACAGACAAATATAGACATCGCACTCGCCTTTTGCCGCGCATCCCGAATAATGCGTCACCATTAGCCATCACTCGCACGCGTATTCCAGGTGTACCCAAGACTAGAGCCAATATCTGACTGTTGCGAGATCCTGCACAGGAGAGAAAATCAAGCGGTCTTCTCTTACGCGTATATCTTAGACTTCTCAACGGTAAGGGCGCAATACGATGACTATTCCAATCACCGTACAACTATCGCTCATTCAACCTTGACATGCCGTTTATTCTGTGTAGCGTTATCACGGTTAGCTCTGGCATATCAATTAATTAAACACCAGCTCACTGCAAGGAAGTCACAATCAATTCTTTCACCATCCGTCTCAAAACTGGAGAATTCTGGGATCCCAGTTTTGCATCGTCCTGCATTTGCGTTCCGTCAAGATGATCCCTGGAAAAGATGTCCTCAGGCATCTTTTTCCAAAAGCGATCCCCAGTAGCCCGACACGGTTTGAGACAACGCCTCGTACCGTTCCTGACACGGCCTCTGGCCGCGGTGAGCGCCTGGTACCGGTCCTGACACCGCCTCTGATCGCAGACACGCGCCTGGTACCGGTCCTGACACCGCCTCTGATCGCAGACACGCGCCTGGTACCGGTCCTGACACCGCCTCTGATCGCAGACACCGCCTGGTACCGGTCCTGACACCGCGTCTGATCGCAGACACGCGCCTGGTACCGGTCCTGAACACCGCTCTGATCGCAGACACGCGCCTGGTACCGGTCCTGACACTGCCCCTGACTGCGGCAGGTGCCTAGCACCAGCCGGTACCGCCCCGGCTGCGGCGGGCGCCTGGTACCAGTCCTGATACCGCCTCTGGCCGCGGTGGGCGCCTGGTGCGGGTCCTGACACGCCTCTGGCCGCGGTGGGCGCCTGGTCCTGATCACTGACACTGCCTCTGGCCGCAGGCGGGCGCCTGGTACCGGTCCCGTGTGCGCGTGACTCCACCGGTGCGCTGCTACCCGGCGGCCACCTGCGCAGCGTGCGAGCCACCACGACCCGCCACCCGACCGGCGCCACTTCGGCGCGCGCCTGAACGCGCCCATACCCCACCTACCAGCCGGCGCGGCTCGCTGCTGGTCGAGCTTTGGTTCCACGCGCCCGAACGCTGGACGGCGCCCGCGTACGAGGCGTGCGACCGCCAGCCGCACCGGGGGCGCTGGTGTTCCCCCGGCTGAACGTGACGACGCGTACCTCTGACCCGGTCCGACTGCGGGTGCAGCTCTGGGAGGGTCACACGCTCAGTGAGGTGGGGTCACACGCTCACGCGCTCACGCAGGGTGGTCGGAGAGGCAAGGTGACCCGGGGGATTAGAACCGGAGATGGGACGGCTCACGACAGCTCGGAGCAGGCTGGTCATAGTCTGGATGATGGTGATTCACGGGAGGATGCCGACTAGTGCACGCCGTGTCTGCTGGGAGACTCATACGCTGGGGTCAGAACTAGAGGGAGGGAGGGCATCCCTCGGCGACAGATGTTAATGTACCACTGGGAGAGACGCAGTTGTCGGAAAAAATCAGGACTATCGACGTCCAACTCCATCATAACGGCTTCAGTTCTCGTTGTCAGCTGTGACGGACGGACATTTCTGAAGCAGTGAGGGTAATGTTGCTAAAACTGAAGCAACCAGCCGGTGTGTTTAGCCTCGACTTGTGCCGCTCTCCAGCCGGCTCTACGGACGCACATAAAACGGCACAATCCGTATGTCGTACTGTGCGTGCAGATGCTCCACGACCAAGGAGGTGCGGTGGAGCAGTCAGCCCCCGGGCCCCGGCACGCCGCCCTGGGCCCGCTGGGACCTCCACATGAGCACCAACGTCACGCTGCCCTGCGGCCACCTGGGCCCCGGCCATCGGACCCTGCAGGTGTATGACGTAAGCGGTCCTGCGCGCCGGCTCGGCTCAGGGAGGGCGCGGGACGGGGAGAGTTCTGCCGAGCGCTGATGCCGCTGCGGTCGGGGCGAACATCCGGGGTTTGAGCATCACCGCCACCTCCGGCCCGATGGCATGGGGATCACCCGAAAAAACGAACGGGAATTTGGTCGGTAACGTGATATACGCCAGGACAGTTCTGGGACCAAGCATGAAAATTTTAACTGACCTTAACGCTCCGGCTGCTGTGCGTTGCTTATCGAGTTCTTGTTCTGTGGCGCAGTCGCAATTAGGCAAATAACCCAGAGTCAGACCGCAATTACGACTTTCCTGGGACGACTTTTGTCCGGTGGGGTCGCCCCGGCGTCAAAAACGGGACAGGATCACCCTCTGACTCTCTTTCAACGAAATGCTCAGGTTCGACGGATACCACTGACAAAACGACGTTTCAAAAGGACGCTTCAGGGCCAAACTGTGATAGTAAAGCAAAGTGCCCTACATATGCGCGCGCACTGCAAAGTGCACATGCCCCTTCACTGGCCGCCTTCAACAGGACGACGCCGCCGAGCCAGCCTCGTACGAGTTGGAGCTGCTCTTCGTCAGCTGGTACGTGGAGCCGGAGGGCAGCACTGCCGACTTCTGGCAGGTTGAAGATGCCGCGCCGCTGGACGACCTGGAGCTGGCAGAGAGCCCTTTGCAACGGTGAGTTCAAAGCCCGTGCCGTGTTTAGTCTGAGGGAGGCGGGGCGAGCTGCAACTGACAGGGAGACTTTGAAGTCGACGCGTTTTGAGTTGCAGTCAGACGCGGACCCAGCGTCACAGGCGCAGCCGGAGCTGGTGCCGTACCTGGACAGCTCCAGCCGAGCCCAGACCCAGCGTCACTGATGCAGCTGGAGCTGGTGCCGTACCTGGACAGCTCCAGCCAAGCCCGGACCCAGCGTCACTGATGCAGCCGGAGCTGGGGCCGTACATGGACAGCTTCAGCCAGGCCCGGACCCAGCATCACAGGCGCAGCCAGAGCTGGTGCCGTACCTGGACAGCTCCAGCCAAGCCCGGACCCAGCGTCACAGGCGCAGCCGGAGCTGGTGCCGTACCTCGTCTCTGGTGCAGCCTGAGCTGGTGACGAACCTGGACAGCCCAGCCAAGCCCGGACCAGGCGGCACCACCTCCCAGCCAGCTGTCTACAGTGACCAGTGCATGTGCCTGTCGGGATCGGAGTGGAGGTTAAGTTCCGTGCCCTGTCTCCCCCCCCCCCGTCGTCCAGTGACTGAAATCCTTAATTAATGCGTTCATACTCGTGCGCGAGGATTTGTGAGGTGATCTAGAATGTTCTTGGATGCATTTCAATGAGGGGATCTCCTGCATGCGATTACTTTTGCTGTGCGACTGGAAGCTGAAAGTTCGTTTCAAGTTCGGAAGCTCGTTTCAAGTACGACAACCTATTTCCCATTTGGTTGGCGGACCCGCGCCGTCCTCTCCCGGGGTGTTTCATGAATACCGAGGCGTGCCGTGGCCGGCGCCGCGTCTGCCGCAGACCCGGACCTCACCGGCAACCGGACGAGCTGTGAGACAGCGCCGACCGGAAGTGAACTTCCGCTCCAGCTGCCAGACACCGGAAGGCGTCTGCGGTCGGCCCGGAGTCTGCGCCGCCGCGACTCGCCGGGTCTGCGGCACCCGCCCGCCGGAACGTACGATGTCAGCCGCAGAAGGGGGCTCCGCCGGGCCGCGGAGCGAAACCCGTGCCTTAGTGACGGCCTTAGCGAGGTGCGCGTGTGGTGCGTACCGCTCCGCCGGCGCGGTAAGCCATACCTTTGTGCCTTCATCTGCAGTGAGACGGGCGGCGGGAAGCATGTGCCTCAGGACCGCGAGCTCTGTATGTGGTGGTGATGTCTCACTGCCTTTCGTCTAGTAGTCATTGACTGTGTTGTTGCCGAAGATAGGGACCTATTGCCTTCGCAGGTGGATCAGCCGATCCGTCTCGGCTCCCAGTCGTGCAGATCAGGCTGAAGACGCGACACTGGCAGCGACTTTAACACACTCTGAGCACAATAACTCGAGGACTCAGCATGTACGTCCGTCTAGTTTGAGCACTTTCCTATTTGACCGGGCCCACATATTGTGTTCACCTAGCGCGTTTCCTCGTCCATGGACCGGATAGCTGATGCTGATGTCAAAGCAAGACGGCGGGCGGGCCGTGTGGCCGATCTGTTCGCAGGCGTTGCTACTCGAGGACGGGTCAGAACGGGATATCCATATCAGATTGACTGCTGTTCGTAAGCGGACGATGGTGGCATGCACCACGTGGGTCTTGCTGCAGTCAAATATTTTACCATTTAGACTACGCGGATGAAAGAAGACTTGAACCATGCGTGGGCATCATTTGAAAACCTCGGTTCCAAAAACATACGTAAAGTTTATTTCAACAAGACAACGGGACAGTAATATAGCTATTGGCGTGCGCCTCCCACGGGCGGTTAAAATGCGAACACCGGCAGCAAAAGCACTACATCATCGACATCGCTAACATCTGGACCAGGCGCCCAGAAAAGCAGAATACACCTCAGAATAAAAACAACGTAAACGCCATCTGGGCCTCCCGCGCGCCTTACTGCTACGAGCGCTGGGGCGGCGATGCTGCGCCGCCGCCGCATGACTACGCCTTACAATATCAAGTAACGTGTCAATAAATTCTGGCACAGGAAGAACTACAGCTGTGATCCGAAGTAACAACGCTGCCGGGGCCGCCGCCCCGAGCAGCCGGCCGGCGCCGCGCGGGTCACATCCCCCTGTCGCCCGGCCAAAACCGGCTGACGCCAGGCTGACCGAGCCAGGAGTCGGCAGCCGTTCCTCATGGAGTCGCACCACGCGCCGCGCGGCCCGCACCGGCCGTAGACACCAGCCCCACACGCCGCGCTGATCGTCCGTACCTGATGGAAGGGGAGGAGCGTCGCGGGCGGCGCCGCCGACGCCGGCGGCGGGAAGCCCGCGCCGGCGCGCGCCGCACTCGCACCCCTATTGTCACACACACACTGAGCACCCACGCACACGCACGAGCGCGTCGTGCGCGGTGAGCCCCGTCCGCAGCTGCCACGTTCTGTCACCTCAGATTCTCGCTGGCCCGGCGGCCGTCGATGTTTCGTCGCCGGCCCAGGAAGCGGCTCAACAGTCTCCCACGCGGTAATCTCACGATTCGCCTCCGAAGTCGACCTCGGACTCCCCTCCGCGTCGACTCCGGAGTCAACCTCGCGCATCTCCCAGAGTCGGTTTCGTACTCGTCTTCACAGTCACCCCGGCGGACGGCGTCTCTGCCGTGGCCGAAAGTTCGGAGCACCTCGAGCTCCGTCGAGGCCTGCCAGCCGTGTCGCCGGCAGTGCCCCCTCCCGGCCGGCCAGCGCACCTCACAGCCGGCAAGTGCCGGTGACGGTGGCGCGACGGGCCTCGGCGCGCGGCCGACCGGCCGCCTCGGCCAAGGAGAGGGCGCGGGGCCGGCCGGCCGCCGCCACCGCCGCCGCGCTGGCGCCCGCCGCCGGCCGTGTGGCGCGCCACAGCGCGTGCAGCAGGCTCTAGAGGTGGTTGGCGGCGTCGTTGGGGTGAGGCGTCAGGCCCGGTTGCAGCAAGTCGATGCGCTGCTTCTGCTTGCGCTGCTCGCTCATCTATGAAGAGGGAAGGAGCGGGGCGTCAGACGACCGGACCACGGCCGAGGCTGAGAGGGAACGGGCGTCAGACAACCGGACCATAGCCGAGGCTGAGAGGGAACGGGCGTCAGACGACCGGACCATAGCCGAGGCTGAGAGCGAACGGACGTCAGACGGCCGGACCATAGCCGAGGCTGAGAGGGAACGGACGTCGGAAGACCGGACCACAGCCGAGGCTGAGAGGGAACGGACGTCAGACGACCGGACCACGGCCGAGGCTGAAAGGGAACGGACGTCAGACGACCGGACCATAGCCGAGGCTGAGAGGGAACGGGCGTCAGACGACCGGACCATAGCCGAGGCTGAGAGGGAACGGGCGTCAGACGACCGGACCATAGCCGAGGCTGAGAGGGAACGGGCGTCAGACGACCAGACCACGGCCGAGGCTGAGAGGGAACGGACGTCAGACGACCGGACCATAGCCGAGGCTGAGAGGGAACGGGCGTCAGACGACCGGACCAGAGCCGAGGGTGAGAGGGAACGGACGTCAGACGGCCGGACCATAGCCGAGGCTGAGAGGGAACGGGCGTCAGACAACCGGACCACAGCCGAGGCTGAGAGGGAACGGACGTCAGACGACCGGACCACAGCCGAGGCTGAGAGGGAACGGGCGTCAGACGACCGGACCATAGCCGGGGCTGAGAGGGAACCGGCGTCAGACGACCGGACCACAGCCGAGGCTGAGAGGGAACGGGCGTCAGACGACCGGACCATGGCCGAAGCTGAGAGGGAACCGGCGTCAGACGACCGGACCACAGCCGAGACAGCCCCAATCAGCAGTCTGCAGTACCGCTCGGCTTCAATACCGTCCCTCCTCCCCGCCCAAGCCGTCACCGTCGCTGCCGTTCAAGGTCATTAATTTATTCTTCCCAAGTGCCGCCATGCGTTATGATCCTTACCATAGCCTAAGTGCGCGCTTGTGCAGGCATAATGTGAAAACTTTTGCAATCTGAGAGCGGCAGCCACCCCCCACGACCTTCCCCAACTACCGCCACGGTCGCAATCAACAGCGTCGTCGCCGGCTCGTTTGCTCTGTCAACAGCACTCGAACTCGCCGCACGGCACAAGCGCGTCGCCCCGGAGGCCCGGCGCCGCCCGGCCAGTGTGTCTGCGGCGCAGGATCTCCCGGCGCCGCACCGGACGCAGGATCCGACGCTTACCTGGTCACGCAGCTCGGCCAGCTGGTCGGACAGCGTCTTCACCAGGCCCATGGTGGTGTCCAGCTTGTGCTGCAGGCTGCGCAGGTCGTTCTGCTCGCCCTCGGCCTCGCCGGTGGTCAGCGACATGGCGCGCATGCGCGGGAACCAGTCGAGGTTCTTCTCCTGCGGCCGCCGACGGAGTGGCCGGGTCAGTCGCCGCCGGCTTCGGTGGCGGGGCGGACGCAGCACCATCGGACCCCGCCCCTCCCCCCCCCCCCCCCCCGCCTTTCCCACCTCCTCGAGAAACGCGCACTCGTCTGGTTCCAACAATGCCATTCCGATGTCGCTGATGACAGCCTTCCAGGCATTGCCATTATCAGACGGATTCCACGCCACGGCTCGTGTCTATTCCGAGCTTCTGACAACAATCGTCCAGGCGTCAGTGATCAGCCAACCCAGACTGCATGACTGATGACGTCTGGGCGATATCTTCACGCCTTCATCAACGTTACACGGATCAGTTATCCGACAACATTCCTCCCATTGCACTATACACAATCCGCTGCATCCAATACAATCTAGCCATCGTCGCACGTAGCCCATAACAAACGCGGCAACTGCGTGCATACGTTCCGTGACCAAGTCAACGACTCGCCAGCAAAGTGCGCAGTGTCTATACCTGAACCATGTTGTAAACGTAGCTCTCCGGGCCAGTGAACTCGGTCGACACCTTGACCTTGATGAGCACAATAAAGTACAGGTAATGCCACATGTTGTGCTCGTTCTTCACGTGCTCCTCAAAGGTCACCGATTTATTGTCAAAGTCGCTCCGCTGCAGACCTGGAAGGAAAAGACGATGCTCAGCCATCTTTCGAGACAGGTTTCAGGTTCAGCTGGGCACCGGCCATCGTAAAGCAACATACCAAAGCCACGTGGCACAATTAAAGTAGCATACCAAACCCACGTGACACAATTAAAGCAACATACCAAAGCCACATGACACAATTACAGCATGCCTCTTAAAATATGCCTCAAAGAATATGCCCTCGTCATCAAGGTACATCAAACTTCTATTTAAAGCCAGCCAAAACCATGCCCACAATCTCACCAAATCTGTTGGGAAGTCTGGTCTACTTTGCGTCACGATCTCGGACTGCGATCGAACTCCAGAACCAACAAAGGAGCGCTTTGTTCCGACACCGGCAGCGGGTCACCCCGCAGCAGGGCACGGCGGAGCACCCCAGCGGAGCACTTTCCTAAGGATCGGACACTCGCCGAGGTCGACGCCGCCTCTTACATGACACTGCATTACCTAGTTAACAAATGATTGGGCGTCCCTGGAGCGGCTCTTGAACTGGGCTTGCTCGCCGCGCTGTGACTGGACGCCGGTTAGAACGTGCCGGCGGCCAGCAGCAGCGGGTCCACTGATGCTGTCCACGCCGTTAGCCTCCCTCCCCAGGCTGCTAGTGAGCACCGTGGTACGCCTCGTCCTCCCGCTAAACCAACACTCCCCGTGTTGCGCCGAGGTTGCGCGCACTCACCGCAGACGAAGCACGAGTTCTTCAGAATCTCCTCCTTCTGCTGCTTGTCGCTCCTGAGATCGGCGAACGTGTCGATGATGACACCGAAGATAAGGTTCAGCACGATGATGATGACGACGAAGAAGAACAGCAGGTCGTATATCACACGGGCCGTGAACAGCGGGTCCTGGCGGCGAACGGTAGCGTCACTGGTGCCACAACGCCCAGAACCAGCACCAAAATACTTACCATAGTCCGGCACGTCAGGCGAATGTGAGGTAAGGAACGGCACGGATCATGCGGCAAGACGCCGCATGCTCCAGTACATCGCATGGAATGGGTACATGGAGCTTACGTGCTCCAAAGGCGCATATCTCTGGAGCCGTGCGAATCTCACACGCCTTCCTCGAGGCGCACCGGTCCGTCGCCACACCGCAACACGCGCACAGCACGCCACTCAGCCGCCCGCCACGGCGGCTGCCAGCAGCTGACCGTCGGGCGGGCCGGACGCCGTGCGGCCGCACCTTGCTGCTAGGCGCGCGCAGCACGTCCCCGATGCCGCCGCCATTGCGCAGGCCTTGGTTCAGCGTGGTGACGATGCACATCATGAGCGTGTCACAGGCGCGCTCGCGCTGCTCCTCGTCGGCCGGCACGTCCGGCGGCACCGCCGCTGCCGAGGCGGAGCGGCGTCAGAGGGCGGAGGGTCAGCAGAGACCGACGTCAGCGGGTCGGGGATCAGCAGAGGCCGGCGTCAGTGGGCCGAGGGTCAGCAAAGACCGGCGTCAGTGGGACGGGGGTCAGCAAAGCCCGCGTCAGCGGGCTGAGGGTCAGCAAAGACCGGCGTCAGCGGGCCGAGGGTCAGCAAAGACCGGCGTCAGCGGGTCGGGGATCAGCAGAGGCTGGCGTCAGCGGGTCGGGGATCAGCAGAGGCCGGCGTCAGCGGGTCGCGGATCAGCAAAGACCGGCGTCAGCAGGTCGGGGGTCAGCAAAGGCCGGCGTTAGCAGGACGGGGATCAGCAGAGCGGGTGTCAGCACAGGTGGGCGCCAGCAGAAGAGTGTCAGCGGAAGTGAGGGGTGGGATGAGGTGGGGGCGGCGCAGGACGAAATGGACAGCTCCAGATCACAGCACGATCAGACAGCTCGCAGGCTATCATCATTCATGAATCCGGTCTCCAGTCTGCGGACTGAGACAGGCATAAGCCGGCTGCCGATTTCATGATGAATTCGCTGCAAATGAGGCCATTCGAAAACATATTACGGGCCATCATGAGATTCCGCATCGATTATGTAGGCAGAGTTGAGCAGCCATCCCTGTCCAGTGCAAGCAGCTGAAAACCCCTCCACAGCCACCAGTTGGCGGCGGCGTTCGGCAGGTAGCGTTCGACTCACAGTGGGTGTATTTGTGGGCGGGCGTCTCGGCCGAGCACGCCTCCTCGGCGTCGCACCAGCCCGCGCCGCTGCCGGCCGCCGCCTCCAGCACGTCTTCGGCCACGTCTGCCCGGTCATAAGGTCACAACCCAGTCAGGTCACAGGTCACACGCCTCCAGCCGCGTGTATAGTCAGGTCACGTGAGGTCACACGCTCACGTACCAGTTGGCTCACGGGGTACGGCACACGTGTTAGATCTGGTGTTTACGGAAGGGAAGGGGAGGGGAAGGGGACGCAACTGACTAGGAACTAGCGATGATGGGTGTGAGAGGGACGCCGACATGAAAAAAACGATGTGCACTCACGCACCGGCCACTAAGCCGCGTGGTAACATACACCTGTTTCGCATTCAAGACACACACAGCTGTGCGTTAAGTGTGCACCAAACGAAGGGTCACAGCTCCCTTCCGACGGCAGGACAGCACAGAGATGCGGCCATTGCCACTGGGACTGCTTGCACTGTAAATCTCACCCCACTGCCAGAGCGCGCCCCCACAGGCCGCCGCCGCGGTGCGGGCGAGTCCGGTCCGGCAGGCCTACCTGTCCGCTGACCGAGGTTGACGGGCACGACGAAGTCGTCCTGGAAGAACATGAAGCCGATGATGGAGAAGAGGTAGACCAGGATGAGCGCCAGCACGGCCCGTCAGCAGGATGGAGCGGCCGTTCTTGGTGACCGACTTCATGACGTTGAGCAGCGTCCTCCTCGCGGGTACACCACGTCGAACAGCAGCACGGAGTAGAAGAAGCAGTGCGACAGGCCGAACACACGCACACCACGAAGTAGGCGAAGTGGTAGAGCAGCTCGTAGTCGGAGACGCGCTGGCGGAACGTCTTCTCGAACGAGCCCTTGTTGTGCCCATGATGCTGGCCACGTGAATGCCTATTTGAACACCAGCTGGAAGCGGAGGAGTCCAGCGTGTAACGGCGATGGTTAAATTGAACAAGGAACCCTGTACGGATTACGGGTACTTTGTACTTGTCGCACTTCGCTCTGCACATATTCGATTATTGCAGGAGTAACAGCGGCATTCATCAGGAAATAATACGCATCAGCAGGAGTAGCAGCTTTAGCTCACCCCCACTCCCTCCCACCGTCCCGGCACACAGCCTCAGTCTCCGCCCTTCTTGCCTCATCCCGACACACAGCCCAGCTCCCCCTTCCCCCACCGTCCCGGTCTGCCCACTCCCTGTCTGTCGTCCCAGCTTACAGCCCCCCCCCCGCCCCATCCCGGCACGCGGATTCAGTCAGCCCCTCCCTCCCCGTCCCGCAGGCAGCCTCAGTCTGTCCCCCCCCCCCCCGCCACCACGGCGCGTGCGGCTCACTCACGTTTATCAGTCCTACAATGAAGATGACCGACTCGAGACCGGCGGTGAAGATAAAGATACCGAGCACGCAGAGGAATAGCAGCATGAACGACACGGCGCCGGGGAACCAGAATGCGCCTGCCGCCGCCACAAACGTCGCAGCCCATGTGAACGGCATCCAGTTGCCCACGTCTGGAACACGTGATTAGCCGGCTGACGCCACAGCTCGACATAACATCGGACACACTTGAGCTCAAGCATGAACCTCATCAAGCACGAACCACACCCCCAGCATGCTCAGGGCCGCAGAGACAAAGCACGTGGGGTGCTAATATGCGATCTTAGTGAGGACCCGGACTGCGGGCAGCACGCGGGACGGCTATTCCGGCATCGCTTCTCCCCACAAAACTTAAGGAAAAATGGTGATCGAGAATACACGGACAATAAAACTGGTGCTCCTGGGAACTGATAACTGGGAACACAAATCAGACCGGCGCCCGTTCACGGAAGTCGTGCCAGCAAAACTGGCCACTCGCCAGCCACATTCCATTCAGAATCCGGTATCCTTATCAAGACAAACTCAATCCGCTCCCTGGGGGTTGTCTGCCGGCGCGTCCTGACATTTGTTCCCAACGACAATCCATTGATAATGACTTCCACCAACCAAACCGAGTCTCCCTCCACCCGTATCGCTGTGAGGTGTGAGCCTGAAGCCAGTCAGGCGCCGGTCTCACTTGGCCAGTCGTCCGTGAAGGGGTAGCTGACGGCCACCAGCATGTTGATGATGACGGCCAGGAAGAAGAGTACGTGCGACCAGAGGCTCATGTAGTTGCTGATGCGGAAGAGCAGCGCCTGGCCTGCGGGACAGTCGGAAGGCATTGCTGAGTCGCGGTCAGACGAGAGCTGTCCGCCTGCGGCTGGGTACGCTCTCACGACGGAGGCGGCGAGGGGAGGTGACGGCCGTCCACCTGCGGCTAGGTACGCTCCCACAACGGAGGCGGCGAGGGGAGGCGACGGCCGTCCACCTGCGGCTAGGTACGCTCTCACGACGGAGGCGGCGAGGGGAGGCGACGGCCGTCCACCTGCGGCTAGGTACGCTCTCACGACGGAGGCGGCGAGGGGAGGCGACGGCCGTCCACCTGCGGCTAGGTACGCTCTCACGACGGAGGCGGCGAGGGGAGGCGACGGCCGTCCACCTGCGGCTAGGTACGCTCTCACGACGGAGGCGGCGAGGGGAGGCGACGGCCGTCCACCTGCGGCTAGGTACGCTCTCACGACGGAGGCGGCGAGGGGAGGCGACGGCCGTCCACCTGCGGCTGGGTACGCTCTCACGACGGCGGCGGCGAGGGGAGGTGACGGCCGTCCACCTGCGGCTAGGTACGCTCTCACGACGGCGGCGGCGAGGGGAGGCGACGGCCGTCCACCTGCGGCTAGGTACGCTCTCACGACGGAGCCGGCGAGGGGAGGTGACGGCCGTCCACCTGCGGCTGGATACGCTCTCACGACGGTGGCGGCGAGGGGAGGTGACGGCCGTCCACCTGCGGCTGGGTACGCTCTCACGACGGAGGCGGCGAGGGGAGGTGACGGCCGTCCACCTGCGGCTGGATACGCTCTCACGACGGTGGCGGCGAGGGGAGGCGACGGCCGTCCACCCGTGGTGGGGCGCGCTGTTACGGCGGCGGCGGCGAGGAAGGGGGGGGGGGGGGGGTGACGGCCGTCCACCTGAGGTAGGGCGCGCTGTTACGGCGGCGGCGGCGCGGGGGGCGACGGCTGTCCACCTGTGGTACGGCGCGCTGGCGCGCTGTTACAACGGCGGCGGCGAGGGGAGGTGACGGCTGTCCACCTGCGGCAGGGCGCTTGGGTGTCAGGGATATCGATATTTTCATGCTATAATACCTCGGCTTCGGGCTCACTGCCTGTGGCCGCTCCCCTTGCTAAAAATCGGCCAATCAGCATCAAATCGGGCGGCTATCAAGCCGGCATCTATGCGCCTCAGGCTTGCGAAATATACTGAGTGGGTCAGATATCTGGGTCAGGGTCAAAGAACAACGGATTAGCGCCAACGAATTGCACATGGGGACCGCCGAGGCGTCGGGACTCTGGTAGCATGAATTAATATTGACATCCTGCACACCCTACTAGATGAATTTTGGCACCCTGGAACCTGACGGCGGCCAGACGGCGCGGATTGGGAGAGGAGGCAAAGCACAAGAGATGGAGAAAAGTGGAAGGGAAGTGGACGAAGATATAACCATAGACAAAGTTGTACGCCTACAGATGAGCACACATATGGAGATACACAGACAGGGAGGTAGAGTCCGTACGCACAGACACCACAGAGGATAGGCACGGCAGAACGCTCCGTGCAGACGGGAGCTCAAGTGACGCCCGACAGCAGGCCACGACAGGACAGGACAGGAGGACAGGCGACCCACGCCACCACCAGGCTGCCTACCTCTCAGCTTCTTTTGCCACTTCATCTCGTCGAAGAGGTAGTCGCACTGATCGAAGAAGCCCTGCACCTTGGAGCCCTGCTCGTCGCGCTCGACGGTCGTGTGAACGCGCGCCTGCGTCTCCTGCGTCAGGTACTCGCAGATCTCCGGGATCGGGAACACAATCTGCTCCATTGTCCGGTCCAGCCGCACGATCTGCCGACAGACGGCGCCGCGACCGTGAGCGCATGGAGACGCGCTGTGTCGGAGACACACTCTGCCAATCCCGCCGCACGCACTCCAACTCCACTTGGTCCCGCCATCCACTGCCACGACCTATCGTATCTGTCACTAAGACCAGCATGCGGCGTCCCTTCCCCACCAGAGGCGCACCTCGATCTGCGCCGTGTGCGTGCGGTAGTACTCGAGCGCGCGCGCCATCTTGACGTCCAGGTTGTCCGTCTGGCGGAGCAGCGCCTGCAGCTCCGTTTGGTCGACAGCTGGTGACACAGGATGTAGATGTTGTCCCCACCTGCCGGGGAGACGACCGGTCAGTCGGAGCAGCGCTGCTTACGGTCAGGTCCGCCACCGCAGTGAGGTCCCCCCCCCCCCCACCCGTATCTAGCGGCGAGCAGTGACACAGAGAGCCAAGCAGGTCGGCTCGACGCCTCGTATCTCCTCGAAGTCAACGTTGATTCAACCTCTGCTCAGCGTCCCGCTCGACGTCCTGTGATCAACCTCTCTCACAAACACCAGACCGTCATCACGTGCTGACGGCCAGAC